GCCAGGCAGCGCATCCCGGGTCCCCTCCGTCCTCGGGGCGCTGGGACGGCGTGGGGATGCCGTGGGGCCGAGCGCCGGGATGGACGGGAGAGTTGGGAGAAGGGATGCCATGGGTGCCTCAGAGAGGAGATAGGGTGCCAGCGGAAGGGATCGGGAATGAAGACAAAGCGCCTCCCGCCCTCTGCACTGGGAATAAATATCAGGGATGACAGTGACGGAAACCCAGGCGGTGCAGTCCTGCCCTCGGGGAACCATTGTGCGAGACCCGCCGTCACGCGCCGCAGATGCCATTGTACCCGCGGCTAATGTGACGGTTTACATTGTTGGGAGAGGATTAGAGGAGCCGCCGCGTTTTGATGGCCTGCTTCTAATTTGCATCTTTAACGAAGTGGGAACCCCGCCAGGTTCTGTTCTTTTGTGTTTACTTGTGAGGAAGCGTGTTTGTCTCCGACGATTACAAATAAATCTCCTCTGCCTTTGCTCCGGCCGCCCGGAATAAAAGGCGTTCGGAGCCCGTTAACTTTGTAGCTGGGGCGAGGACCGGGTGTGCAGGAGAAAACCCATGAGGAGCTCCCTGTGAACATAATGAACAATTTCTTCTCAAATAAAAGGGTGCCGGGGTGTTTGCTCTGCCCCCATGACACGTGCTTTCGGTTGGAAACTTCCCAGGGTGAAGCACCGCCCCGTCTCTGTCAAAGGGCTTCGCTCCCGATCCAGGTGAGCTATTTTAGCTGCCAAAAACCAGGTCAGCCAGCCCGTTCGTGACCGGTTTCAGCCTCTCCATTTGTCATTTCAACGAGACACGCTGCCTACAGGAGAGAAAAGTGGTTTGTGGTTGAAGGGCCACAGAAGCACGTAAAAGCAGAGCACCGTTGGTTTCCATAAGGAAGCGGGAGGGTTTGGGGTTGATCCAAAGACAAGTATCTGCCCCGAGCCTCTCGGCTCCGCTGGGGACCGGCAGTCCTGGCCCTGCGGGTGTGAACCCCTCACCTGGACCACTTGGGGTGCGCAACAACGTTTCAGGGTCCTGAGCATCCCATCCCTCGGGATACATTGCGCCCATGGAGAGGGCTTTGCGAGGCTGGCTTTATTCCTCCAAGTCTTTGTGTGCCGTTTACCCCTCCGAAGTCGTGCCGGAAAACTTGTGCCGACCCTGGACACGGCATTTCCCTCACCATGGGGCAAATGTTGAGGGCAGCCCCAGCCTCACGCCAGACGTGCAGCCCCGGATTCGACCAAATCAACAGCACAGGAAAGGTGTGTGACATGGACCGGGAAAGGCAGGGGACGAAGGCAGCGGGTCGTATGTCACGTCCCATGCGTAGGAGGAGCGCTGTCAGCGTCGTCAACGGGGCCAGGCAGGAGCCTGCCGCGGGAGCGATGCGGGGGTCTCCCCTAATAGGTCCAGGAGGAGGGAGACGGTCACTTTGTGCCGCCGAACACAAAGAGGGTGTATGCGGAGTTATCTGTATTGTTGACACTAAGTGAAATAATTCCTCGGCAAACTTCAAAATTAGCATTTAAGGATGAGAAATAGGGGCAATTAGAGGGGAAGCGGCACAGCGCCGCTGCCCCCAACTCCTTCCCTCGTGCATCTTCTCACGCTGCCGCGTTTGGGTTCATCGCCCTCGTCTCTGGCGGAGTGCTGGGATCTCTACGGCAGCTCTTGTCCCCCCCGCAGAGCAAGGGGATCGATACGCATCTCAGGCGACGGCGCCTTCGAGAGGCCACGTGTATCATTGTGAGCACCGGGGGCGACGGAGCTCGGGCAAAGCCCGGCAGCCGGGGGCTCATAAGAAAGCCGCTTTGGCGGAGAGCGGTCACGGCAGGAGGCAGCCGAAGGGCTGCGGATGGCGAAAAATCTCTGCTCGAAGGCAGCAGGGGTCTAAGTGGGATGCGGAGGCTTAGGAGCAGATGGGATGGGTTGCGTCGCACAAAGAAGGGCTGCGTGGGGGAGCCGGGACCAGGAGGGTGCTGGGGCCTCGGGTTTGGGCAGACGGTATCAGTCCTGAGATGTTCCTCCTGCCTCGCTGGCAGGTTTTCTCCAGGTGAACCATGGAGCCAGGATGGTTTTATTTCCCTCCTGTCTGACAGGCACTTTATTGTCTTTTGTCCCTTCCGGCCTCGTAAGGCAGGGTTTCTTCTGGAGATGGATACGGTGCCTTCAGGAGGCTGTTAATGGGGGTTTGTCTTTGTTCTTAATTAGATCCCTTCAAGGGAAAACCTCCTGGCCCGCTTTATTATCCAGCTTTGTCAGAGCTTGTCTGCTTTATCTAAACACTTTGCAGAAGTCTCTTTACCTGTTTGCTTACTGCAGACATTATCATAATCCTGGTCAATTGGAAATTGGTAGCAAAGACAGCCCGGCAGATGAGGGAGCGCTGGTGGCTTAGTGGCTAACGGAGATCGCTTTCCGACCCAGGTAAAGAAGCTGGCGGGGTGCTCCTCACGTTGGGGTGTTGGTCGGTATTTGCCTTTGAAGAGCCTGTTCCCAGGGCACAGGAAAATCGCGGTGGGAAGGCGAGGTCAGGCGAGAAGGTGCCCCCAGAAACACCACGCTCCCTGTGGCAGCTGATGGGATGGTGGCTTTTCTGCCGGCGGTTGCTCTGGCACGAGGCGTGGGAGGGCTGGCTGGTTTTTTTTGAAGGGGGGCAGTTCTTCTGGTCCCTTCCCGCCTGCAGCTGCAGGGGACGGCGTGGGCTCGGGTGGAGAGAACCACGATGGGAAGCAAGCGGAGCTGAAGGGACTCGGTCCCAAATCGGCTATCGAGTGGCAGCAACTGAAGAGCGAGCTCAAGGGATGGGGAGAAGGAGCCTTTGCCTCCTTGCTCTCGCCCTGAGTTTGTTAGAAGCAGGAGTGTCCAAGTTGCTCCCGCCCGTTTGCTCTGACCAGTTTCGAGGGTGGTCCCGGTCACCACGTGCTATGGGCAAGGGACGGTGATGCTGTCCTTGCCCATCCTTGCGTAAGCGTATCCGCCTGTGTTACGGGTGTCCCTGTGTGCTCATGCAGGCACGGCTCTGAGCCGTAAATGCGAGCTGTTAAATGCAGAACGAGCGACCCTGGTTCGTGGGGGTCCCCGGGCTGACCCCAAATCTCCCTGGGAAGTGCAGCCGGTACCCGCCAGCTGAAGCCAGGCAGCGGCGGTCGCACGCGCCCAGTGACGGCACGAGCTCCTCGTCCCTGTCGCTTCGAACCCTAGTCCTTGTTCTTCACCCCTAATGAGGCGACCCAAGAGTACCTCGCAGGGCTGTAGTCTGGATATTTGTATGAGTGCAGACATGCAAGTTGTCTGTTTTACATATTGCTGCCCTGATTTTTCAGTGCACGCAATGAATAATTTACAGAAGCCGTGCGTAAGTATCTCTTTATTATTCATTATAATGAAGTGAGACAGCAGTAATAGTCCACTAGACTGGAATCCCTCAGGGCCGAACTTAACTCGGCCGAGCTTAGCTTTCCCCTGGTTAATTTGAGCAAAGGGAGGGCTCGCCTTCCCAACAAGGATGTTGCCATCCGCAGGCATGAGGCCACCTCGGTCCGGCAGAGCGGAGCCGGTGCCGGGGCGCATCCGACACCCAGGCGAGCTCCTGGCACGCCGGCAGTGCCGTGGTGGGCCCTCCGTCTTTCCCGGCATCCGTATGCGATGTGACTGGCGGAGACGTACGGCTCCTGCAAGGGGAAAATTACTCGTTTGCGGGAGGATATATGGCTCGTTCCTCTGAACCGAGCGCCTGGGGGGACCCTCAAACACGCCGAGTATCGCCCCTTCCCTCAGCCCGATTAATAATCTCGATCGAGGTGACGCTCTGTGATCCCAGCAAGGGAGGCGTATAACACCCCCAAAGCCTCTGCAGGAGAGCGCCGTGCCGGGGACGAGGACGGGGACAGCCCGCCAGCCTGTCTCTGAATTTACAGGCGTGCGGAGAGGGACTGGCACGACGAGCTTCCCGATTGACTGTACGTGCCTTTTCCTAAGGTCTCGGCTGCACCAAGCTGTGGCGGCACTGCCACTGCCGGCATGAGCTCGTGCCTAGCCCAGTTCTCCCAGTTTGCTTTTGTGCTGAGAGAAAGCTTCCCCTGCCCTGGTCCTTGGGTGGGAAAGGCGAAGCTCCTGAGAAACGCTGGGCTCTTAATTTAGCCGAATGCTTGGCGCTTTTGTTGCGGGTGCCGTGGTGGCGGCCGAGGCCATGAGTAAATAGATCAAGAAAAATCTGTCGAACAGAATGAAAAGGCATGTTCTCCAGGAACATTTTAATTCCACCCCCCCTGCTTCCGTTCTTTGCTGAGTGTAAGTCAGCGCCACGGACCAGAGCTGCCGAGCCCCCACGCGTCTTGGAGCGGGGAGGGTGGGAGCTGGGCAGGAAATAAATAATGGAAACGGCCGCGTTGTGTTTTCAAGGCGCTGGTAGGATTTACAGCTGCTTGTCCAAATGTTCCCTTCTCTTCCCCGTGCGCTGGCTTTGCCGTCCCCGGCTGTTTCTCTTCTTCCCCTCTCCCCGCACCCATGCCGCAGCCCCTCTGCCCTGGCAGCGGGTGCGTATATCACTCTGGGGATGGCTCGAGGGCTGCGCCGACAAGCCAAATCCTCAGCAAATTTTACAGCTTCGTCCGATATCCTCAGTGAGCAGCAAGGGCGAGGTGGGGATGGCAGTGGAGGTTGGTAAGAGGAGGGGGGGTACGGAAAGTCTGCGTGGCTTGCGGAGGTCAAATGTAATGGGATTTTCATCTGCGGTTCCCCAGCCCTGTGTAAAAGAAAAAGGCGGGGGGGGTTTGTGGCAAACCTGCCATTTCTGTGAGATCTCAGGTGATGGGGGGGATGCAGGACATGGCAGCAGGGTAGGTCGGCTGTGGCACGTGCCAGCTCCATGCCAGTGGTTCACCTGTGCGTGACAGGGAGCTGGCGCCGCAGCTCCCATCCCGCTCATGTCCCCTTTGAGGAGCTGGGATGCTCGCCGTGCGGTCTGTTCCAGCTTTGTGACCCTCTGACTCTTCCTTTGCAGGTGTACCGTGGACGACCGGGTCACGCGGGTAGCCTGGTTGAACCGCAGCACCATCCTGTATGCCGGCAATGACAAGTGGTCTATAGACAACCGCGTGGTCATCCTCTCCAACACCAAGACCCAGTACAGCATCAAGATACACAACGTGGACGTCTACGACGAGGGCCCCTACACCTGCTCTGTGCAGACAGACAATCACCCCAAGACTTCGCGCGTCCATCTCATTGTGCAAGGTAGGTCTTAACATGCCTCACGCGATTGCTGAACTGACTGCTCGATACGGAAGGCTGTCTGGACTTGCGAAGGGTTCGGAAGCCCTCTCGGTGATGGAGACGGAGGGATCCGACCAACATCCATTGCTTCAGGGATTGAGCGGCACAGGAACAGGGGCGTAGGAAAGCGCCCGCCGTGCCAGGGAGCAGACAGACTGGCATCATCTCAGCCTCACTGTGTTGCATGGTCATCACGTGGGGCAGAGGACACCTGAGAACTGAAACCGGGGCCGACATGCTCTTCCTTCTCCCCCCTTGCCTGGCCCCACTGTCAATTTGACCTGTCTCCACCGCTTGGGCCCGCATCGCTTGGCTCGCTGCATCGGGGAGCTGTTGGTAAGGCGCTGGGGCACGCGTCCGAAGACGCTTCGGGAGAGCCAAAAGCAAAGTGCTGCCGGCTGCGGCGGCGGAGCGGACTCCAATGGCGTGAGGCTCCACGGTTTTGGGTGAGTGGGCAGATCGTGTGAGCATGTCGAAGTCGCAAAGGGCTTTTGGTGCAGGGCTTTGTAGGTGAGAGTGTCGGCGTAGTGGACACGGTTGGGTTGCCCAGCAGCGTTCCTGAGGCCGCTCTGACGGGGGGATCCGGGTGCCAGCAGATCGGAGGTGCCATAGCACCCCGGTGGACGCCGCCTCTGGATCCTTGTGGCTTTGTGCTGGCTACCGGCTTTTGTCCGGTCTCTAGATTAATTTTTCAGAGTTAGTGTTAGTTCAGGTTAGATAAAGATAATGAAAGTTTCCTAATCCTCTTAAGGAAGATTTATCGGGCTGAGTCGAAAGCTCTTGGAATACAATAAAGCGTGTATAAAACCAGGACCTAATCTTTCCTTTAATTTCAAACAGCTGATGGGTATTGATTTTGCAATGAGCAAATCTGAAAAATTTCTCGGCCTCAACATGTCTCTGCGAAGCCCCCAACACGGACATGTAGGTATTTATGTATCCTTCTCATTCGGAGGAGGCAGGGTTTGATTGCGGCCACCCATCTGAGTGGTTTTCCCGCCCAGTCTTGGCAGGAGCACATCGGGGGGCCCCGCACCGCGCGTACCGGGTTACGTCGGAGAGGGGAGCGCTCGCCTTGGGAAGAGGGGAGCGGAGGTTGGCTGGGAGTGTCCCCTCCATCCCCCTTCACTGGGTTCTCTCCCTCTCCCCCTTTTTGAGTTGCGTGTGAGCCGTCTGTCTGCGAAGTTTAATCGGTTTATCCCGTCTGCTCTCTAATCGTGCTAATCCATCCGGTCAACAGCGGTGAAGTATACGAGTGCTTTGCGCCTCATGAAATCAGGTGAACCGGCAGCGGTGCTCAGCACCCGCTCCCCTCAGCCTTTTTTTGGGTGGGCGGGCGGGTGAAGGAGAGAGGGAGTTTGCATCCAGAGTGACTGCCTGATGGTGAGGCATTCCTAACTGTGCTGGGAAAAGTTTTCCTCTGGTGCAAGCAAGTCCCGTTGGATCGCGCCCACCGCAGCAGTGACCGCAGTTCTTGGCAGCGTTGCTTCTCTGCAGCCGAAGGGAAGCCTGAGAGGAACTGGGGATACGTGGTTACGCAGGTCAAGCGGTTTCTGTCTTTCTCTTTCCGCGCATTCAGCTCAAGCCACACGGTTTGCCTGAGTCGGTCTGCCAAGAAAATCCATCTGTAGGTGCCGCTTTGCTGTCTTGTTGATGGCGGGGGCTGGAGAAGCAAATCCTTCCACGCTCTGTCCCCACTTCAGCTCCAATGAGTTCTTTGGAAGCTAAAACGTGCTCTCCAGTGGCTCAGGCCGAGCGGCATCGCCCACCGGCACCGTCGGCGTAGCCGAGGGCTGGTAGTCTCCGTGCTTGCACGCCGGGGAAGAGCCGGCTTTCTACGAGGGCCAATACCCCACAGCTGCTGGGAGGAATGGAGCGGTTTTCCGTAGGTGCGTTCAGTCCTGGCCGCGCACGCCAGCAGAGCACGCGCTTTGCAGGGAAGGAGTGATGTCGTGTTTCTGGTGGAGCTCCCCTGGCCCAAAATATGGCCTCAGAAGCGAGGTTTGGGGCCCTCCTTTGTCGAGGAGGCAGCTGTCCCAGCAGCGGCGGCAGGAGGACTGCGGATGATGGCTGCGTGCGACGTGGCAGCACGCTTTGCCCGTGCCGGCCGGCGAGCAGGTAGTGATGATGGGTTAGCGACCGCGTTCAGGTCAATTAATTTATATTTGTATTTTGCAGAATGAAAAGGTGGCCGGATGGGGTATTGATTCTTTGCCCCCGTCTTCAGTCGGGTTTTAATTGTGCTCCTGCGGGGTCTGGCCTTCCCTCCTAGCAACCCGGCAATAAATCTGCCAGGGAGTCGCAGTCAACAGTAAATGCATCTCTTTGTGTCATTATTAATGTGTCTCTGGGATTGGTTCATCGCCACAGCCATTCACAAGGGTTTATAAGAGTGTAGACGCCGGGAAGCCAGGAGGGGATTTTTGCCTCCCTTTTCCTCTTTTTTTCGGGGGCCACCTCATGACAGCGGGACGGATGCTTTCGGGGACGTGCGCGAGTGCTTGCGGCATGCCGGTGCGTTTTGGGGAGAGTTAGGAATGCGGAGAGAACCGGCGTTTCATCTCGCATAAGGAGAAGATGACCCGCCTCCTCTTGTCGTAAACAGCTTGAGCAGAGGGTGCCGTGGGGCCGGACTTTGGGTGAGCCCTCCTGCCTCTGGATGTGACCCACCACGAAGCCCACCTCTGCTCCCAGGAGGCACGAACCCACAGGGATGAGCCAGCAGACCTTCCCCCATCGTGCCGCAAAACGGTTTCGGTGCGAGGAGCGTGGTAGACCCTAGGCAGGACGCAGCTGTGCCTCCATGGCGTGGGCCATTTTGGGACACGGGCTGTCTTTCAGTCTGAAAAGTGGGGCTGGGGGTCTGTGTTTTGGTTGAGGCCATGGCTTTTGCAGTCAGCGCCCCAGGAAAGAGGAAGCCTGTTGTCCTCGTAGCAGCAGCTGTAGAGAGGAGGGCATACGTGCCATAGCATAGCATGGCATCACTTCAGGATCCATGCAGCACCCTGTCCGGTGGGGAATGTCAATACTGGCCATCCCTTCCATAGCGGTCTTTGGTACTCCTCAGACGTCCTCTGTTTCTGATTTATTTAGAGAACCCTCCTCTGTACTGCCTTAATCCTACTCGCCATAGATTTTTCATTAAAACCTCTCCCGGCTGTCGGCATCGTTACCGTTAGCTTCCGGTCAGCACAATCCATTTTCCCGTCTCGGCGTTCGCCGCTTTCCTCACCCTGGCAGCCAGGGCGGCTTTCAAAGGACCGTAGCCTTCGCTCGTGGTAGCGAGGTTGCGGTCCTGCAGTCGGCTCTCCGAATGCACCTACGGATGCTCTGCCGGAGCCGGTCCTGTGTCCCTCATCGCGTCCGCCACCTCTCAAAGCGGCACCGGTGCAGGCACAGCTCTGCAGTAAGCATCTCAAAAGCAAACCAAGTCTTTATTTTATCCTTCTTCCTGACCACAGTTGGCTCCTCGAGTCTCTGTAAGGGCAACCCCTACCCCCCGCCCCATGCTGGCCCCGTTGAGCTCTTTTTCCCCAATGCCAACTGGGCTCCGGGCTCCTCTCTGCACCACAGATTTCACGATGGTTGTGGTTCAGCTCGCTTTCGTCGCACTACCTTTGATATCCAGGCAGTAGCTAAGACCACGATACTTATTACAAGCTTACTAGGAGGCCGTATGGCACACGGCAAGCCAAGGAGAGCGGCTTAGCCTTCTTTGGTTGTCGTAGGAAAGACCCGATAATAGGCTCTAAATGTAGAAAGTGCTTCTCTGTTAAGTGCTTAGCATTTAGACGCTGGGGAGTTTAGCGTGAGGGGCATGCGTGCGGCGTACAGAAGCAGCCCGGAGAAGGGAAAGGGTGAGAGCAAGCGATGCCTGGCAGGCTGTGACCTCCAGAGCAGGCTCGTCTCCCTGCTCCTGCTTGGGAGCTTTGTCTGCACTTGGGATACTTGCCCCTTACCGGGCAGGTTTTTGGTTGGTTTTTTTCCCTTTACCTAAGAAACAAGACAATAGTGCAGAAAAGAGACGATGTGCGGTTGACACAATGCAAAACGTCCGACACAAAATGTTGGCAGAGGTTCCCGTTGCTTCGCGTAGCATGCTGGCGAGATTTTACATACATCTTGGATTGAGGGTTTGCAGGGATGGCAAAGGTGGTTCTTGGGGCTCAGGCCATGCCTCTGTCTTGCCAGGTGACACATCGTGTCCCAAGTGAAGTCTTCATCACCTGCCCATCCTGTACAGGCTGCTCATTATGTTATGGGTGTCAGGGGGTCGACTGCCCTCCGTCCTGCTGGCAGCAGCAAGAGGGCATCCCAGGAGGAAGGCAGCTCCTCACACCAAGGTCTCAAAAGGCTGAGGGCTCATCCCAGGTCCTCTGTACCTGCCCAAGCTTGTCTCTTAGCATCGTTGGAACAAGGGCACAGATATTACGGGGTGGTGGCTGAGATCTCCAGCCGAGGCGGCACAGGTGGGGGTAGAGAAGCCTCCCTCGGGCGCATTTCTCCCCTCTTGGCATCTAAGCTGCTCGTCAGGTGGGGTGGCAAACGGGCTGGTGACGTATTGGAGCACGTCTTCCCTTTGCCGTGCCTCCGGGTCTAATCGAGTGTTTCGTCGACGGCTCTGTTCAGGGGCTCGGCTCGGGCTAGTCCTCGCAGCGCCGGGTTCATTTTCCTGGCGGGGACAAGCGAAACAGTTAATCAAAGCAGGAGATGCTCCCGGAGGTCGAGCGTGTAGCCAGTGGGGATGGAGTGCAGGGAAAGAAAAAGGACATCAAAGGGCTGTTAAGAGGAAATGGAAAAAAATCAGTTTGGCTGGAAAGACATCTTCCCGTCAGGAGCGAGAGCCCAAAATGCATAATGTCTGTGGCATTTAATGTTTCCCACCTCCTCCTTTGGGGCCCTGTGCGCTGGTGGGGAGGGAAGGGGCCCGGCGCAGGCAGAGCCATTTATTTAGCTGGATG